AAGTTAATAGTAATCTAGAATAGCCTATACATAAAATTCTAGATAGCTATCTTTATTAAAATTATCTTTAATACTACGCTATATAGGTTACTTATAATCTTAACTCTACCTAGTATAATACTATAGGTTTTATTAACGCTCTTTATAAGGTAAGAGACTTTTATATAGTATACCTAGATAAGCTAGAGCTACTATTATAATTAGATGCTTAGATTAAGGCGTACGAAAAAGAGAAGACTCTAGAGAAGATAGTAGAGAATTTAAAACTTGCAAGAGTAGAAGATATAAGGGTAACGCAAAGACGCTACTAAGTAATTTAAGAAGAGAGCCTGCAACAAAGCCGCCCTACAGACGCGGAAACAAGCCTTCTAGCTTAAATCTCTATAAGAATAGAGTGACTAGAAGAAAGGTAGTAGCTATAAAAGCGCTCTTAGTTTAAAACTAATACGAATACACTTACTATAAGCTAAAAGAGATAGTTAAGAGTATAACGCGAGAGTTTTAGAAGAAGAGAGATCTAGAAGGCGTATTTTAGAGCTTAGAGACAAGCTCTCTCTATAAGAGAGAGTAATGTAACAGTCTAGTTTAGAATTTACCTTAGGTTATATAACCTTAGGTTACGTAATTCTATTACGTAACCTAGTCTAGCGTCTTAGCGCTTAGTACCTCTATATATAGAGAGCTTTTAGAGTATTCTTCTACTTCTTACCTTTAGATAGCTAAATTTAACCTAACCTACTCTGCTAGCACCCCTTATTCTTACAGCTCGTGGAGACAGTACTGCCTGCAGCCGACTTACCTAGCTAGGTGTTTTAGAGGCGCTTATAGTAGTAGAGACCGCGAATCTAGCCCTTATAGTATATAGCTTAATAGTAGTATATATAACAAGAGGTAGTAATATAGACTAGCTGCTAAGAGAGTAATACTTCTATATTAATAGTAAATTAGCATATATAAGACCTTTTAAACTATAGATTAGACTAGTATAATACTTTAGATGCTAGTAGCTAGAGCATAAGGCGTTTATATACACAAGGCAACGTGTCTACGCTAAATACGCAAGCGAGAAACACTATAGCGAATACTAAGTAACAATCTCTAAATACGTTCTATGCAGAGGCGCCTATAAATTCTTCTTAAAGAACTATAGAGTACTATACCTAGGCTGCTATACGTAAGCTGCTACGCGTGTTTTAACTTAATGTAGAGAAGCGACAGATAGTATAGCACAGCGTAATAAATAATAAGTAGCTAATAAGACTTTAGCGTACTAGCAATCTAAGAATTACATGCATAAAAGAACAAGAAGAGGACAATAATTACAGCTCTAATAAGGTACACTAACTAGACGAAATTTACACCAACAACGCGCTAGGACGAGGGATAGCCGTTTCGGAGTATGCTGTAGGTGCGCAAGAACATTAAGGCGCAGCAACTACTAGTGTAATTAGCAGACCTTACAGCAGTGCTCTTACGACTTCACGACTAAGCAATTCTAGTAGTGTTCGTCTATGTTAAGGGAAACAGCGCGCTAGACCTGTAGGAGGTAACAACTAACATTAGAGCCCTAATCTAGAAAGTATAGAGCTAGGTACAGACGCAGACAGACGTAATACTAGTAGGGGATTTTAATTAACACGACTAACTATAGGAAGGGGACGAGGTCTCGCCAGCGCGCTAGAGTAAAGTAGACCTTATTATCTACCTTATAAACAACTACTCGCTTTATAGCCTACTTCCGCGGGGCACAAGGATCTAGAAGTTAAGCGACTAGGACAGCACGATTAACCTAGTTCTAGCATCTAACGAACTAGCCTCTACAGTAATAAGTTATAAAATTCACAAGACTAAACACGAGTTAGACTACAGAGCAATTAAAATAGCTTTCGACATTAACACACTAGAGTGGGCAGTCGAAACAAGGCTCCTATTTAAGAACGCACTATAGGAGGCGATAAGAACGCGAGTCGAGGCGGCCCTTAGACTTATGCTAATAGCTAGCACCGTGCAGCAGCAGACAGACAGGTTAATAAAGGTGGTGCTAGAGGCGGTTTACACTCTAATACTAAGAGCAAAGCCCTCCCTATACGCAAAGAGGTGGTAGACTATAGACTTTACGCAGCTGCGTAGGGTCTACACGCACTAGAGAAACAGAGCGAGAGCGACACGCTAGGGAAGCTAGGAAAGAGTTCTACGACGCCGCCTAGCAGCAGCGTAAAGCATACTAGAACAACTCTCTCGCTAAGAATGCTAACATCTAGAAGGTAGCAAGATATCTTTCCTCTAGGAACAGTACGGCCTTTAACAAAATTCTGCTACTAGTTAGGTGCGACGGCACGACTATAGAAGAAAAGTAGGGGTAGGTAATAGAGCTACTAGAGACCTTCTTTCCCTCGCTTCTAACAACAATTAAAGAGGAAGGAAATTAGTACTAGAGAAGGCTAGTTAGCATGCTAGAGCTAATAATAGAGGAGATAGAGCGGTGCGTAATAGCGGCTAAGCTATAGAAGGCACTAGGCGACAACGGGCTTCTAGTAATAGTATAGAGGTAGCTATAGCTAGTAGTAAAGAAATAGGTACTACACCCCGCGCGTTGCTAGACTAAGGCTAACTCCTAATATAATAGAGAAACGCGAAGATTATCCCTCTAAAGAAACTAAATAAAGGGGACTATGCAGTAGCAAAAGCGTAGAGGCTAATCTCCCTCCTGTTAACACTTAGCAAGATCTAGGTAGAATAAATTAATTAATTAATTAATCTCTTAACCTTTAACGTAAACCTATCTGTTCTGCAAGCATGTTATACAATACGCTCTTCTATAACGCGCTGTATTTTTTACGTAAAAATTTAAGAGGTAGATAGGATATATATAGAGTTAGAATTACTATAAGTAGATAAACCTCTATAGGCGCACCTTTGCTTATCTCTACTTTCTAGTTCTTAGGCTCTTGTTATCCCTCTAATTTCTTTAACTTATTCTATGCTGTCTAAAGTATCTTCTTTATCTTATTATACAGCTTTAGATTTAGAACCTTCTACCTTCTACCTCTAGGAAATATCTTTCTTCGCAATCTATTAACGCAAGAGATTAGCGGCTAGTAGTATAGCGTAAAGTTTTTTACCGCTACTCTAAAGAAATCTTTCTTATCGCCTACTACCCCTTTCTTAAATATAGCAAGCTCTTTCGTGTTAATATAATTCTACTTCTTAAATTAAGAAACTACTCTCTTCTTGTTTAGTTCGTTATAGTAAATGCATATCTAGAATAGTACCTAGAAGAAAGATTCTAGGTCGTGTATAAAGGAATGTAGCTTGTTGTCTAGGAGAATTCTAATTACTATAAATACTCGTGTGCTAGTCTTCCCTCGCGCTTCTAAAGACTTCTCCCGCTGCTCTCTAATAGCAAGGTTAAGGTTAATTAAGAACGCGGGCTAGAAGGGGTTTTCGTCCTCTTTATTTACTATAAGGTTGTTTAAAGAGATATTGCATTATAGCATACTAGCCCGTATGTGTAGCAACTTGTAACCGTTAATACAACCTTCTAGCGCGGCAAGAAGGCTAGTCTAGGAGCTCGCCTTATAGATTAGCTTTCTGTAGTTACGGACAACGACGCGGCGATGCACTTAATTTATAGTTACTATCTCCCTCTTTGTAGGGGAACTTAAACAGGTTCGCTTCGTAGGCGGCAATAGCGCGCTAGTGCAGCTAGAAGACCGCTTGCGCCTAGCGACGCTGCTGCCGCTGCTCTAGAGTAGCCGCGAGACGCGACGCCTAGTCGTGCTTAGAGGCGGCATTAAGCTTTCTAGCTTGTAGAATTTCGTTTGCGTTATATCTAGGCCTTATTGCACGTTTACGCGGATATTATCGTCCTGGCCGCCTACACGGACTATCTCGTGGTAATAGTATCTCGCGATATTAACTACGCCCTTGTTAGTCGCCTCTTATAGTAACTTGCCCTCCTTCTCTTATTCTAGGTATTGCTATAAGTCTTTAATAACAAGAGGTGCTCGCGTATTGTCTTCTTTACAATAGGCTTTCTAACAGGTTGTCGCTCGACTAGCGACACAGCGTACCTGTTTCACGACCTTGTTAATAATAAGCCGCTTAGTGTAGTTGTCTCGCTTAATCTTAATGTACTGCTTGTCGCTAGCAGTTATAATAGTAGAGTTAAATTCAAGCTACTTCTTATTTATCTACAGAAACCTAAGCACGGCAGACACAAACTACAGCCTATCTTTGTTAACATTAAATCGCGCAGACGCTATGCCGCCTAGGCGGTTAAATTCTTACAGCCGCATAAGCGACCTACACAGGGTAAAGCCAAGCACGAAGCGGCGGCTATTCTAAGCGGCGAGCACCTCTCTCGCATATCGCTCTATGTCGAGCTATGCTTTAGAGGCTATGTTAGCTAATAGATTGCTCTTAAGTTCTCCTAGTATAAGAATCTGCGACTAGTAGTATTTAGAGTTAACGCTAGCGCTTAGGTTATCTATAAAGCTAACATCTAACTTGCGGTTAGCGGTAGAGCCTTCTAGGGGCTAGTAGAGCTGTGCTAGCAGCCGCCGTCAAGGCCTAGAGGCAGGCTAATTCTCTGCTACAAAGTCTAAGAGCTAGCTAGTAAGCGGCGCAAACTAGCTTAAGACGTCGCGTTCTCTCGCGCCTTTAGGCTAGCCCTGCTAGCCGCTCTCCTCTTAGTAGAGTAGATTATTCTCTTCTTTACACTTGTTAAGCACGGCCTACGCTACTAACTTTAGACCTAGGACGCTTCTAAAGTAGGTATTAAAGAAACTAGAGACCTTAATATATAGCTATTCTAATTTCTTCTTTAGCACGGCGTTTACATATTTGCGGTGTTTAGTAGAGTTTGTAAAGCTACCCGTGTAGTATAGCTATAGCGTCTACAGGAAGAAGAGGGTAAGAGACAGGGTAGACAGCGGAGAAGTTGTAGGTTTAGCAACTGCAAAAGCCGCAGACACAGCGATAGCGGCGTAGACACTATTCTAGATAACTTTATTAGGCTTGTTGTTAAGGACTACTCTAAGAAGGGGTATAATATACTTAATGTCGAAGTTGCTAGAGTAGACTACTAAGTTTAGGTCTAATAGATTACTATATAGGCTTACGTTATTACCCTTAGAAGGCAGCGAACGAGATGTAGAGAGACCCTGCACAGCTAATATAAGGTTAAGGAGGGAATTTTTTAGTTCTGTTAATGTTAGAAAATCTCGCGAGTTTAGTATTAAGCTGTATCTTCTCTACTTATGTAGTATAATACATTAGCGCCTATAATAGCTAGACCTCTAGTAGTAGACTCGAAAGAGTTGCGAAAGGCGTTTAGTTCTTTGCTAATAGGGTTTGCCTTAATTATCTCTAATCTCGACCTAGCTGCCATAGTAAGAAAGCGCGAAGAACGAGACACTAAGGTAGTTAACAAAAAAGGCGACGTAAAAGGTAGCTAAATAAGAAGCGGCTTAAATCTGTAAAGATAGATTATTAAGTAGAGGTTAGAAGAGGATACGAGCTAGGGTTTAGACTTGTTAAGAGTAAAGATAAGTATAGTTATAAGGAAGAAGGTAGAAACGCAAACGCGTTAGCGCAGACTATACTAAGCTAGAAATTCTTTAGAGCTAGAGTAATTATTATTAGCAAAAATAATTTACTAATCTCTAACCTTAACAGCGAGAACCTAAATTTTTAGAATTAACGTAATATATTGTACGCAACGTTCGCTCTAGACGCTAATTAATTAGCTAACACCTAGGCGCGTTGCCTAGTACGTCTAAGGCGTTATAGCGACACTATAGCCTTAGAAGGTAACATAGCTAACTATAACCCGCGAGCACGCTACACGCCTTAGCGCTTACCTTTAGAAAAGACTACAATATATTAAACGCACTAGTAATTAGCCTATACTAGTAGACCTTGTAAAGACTATTACTACGGCACGCTAACCTTTATCCTTAAAGTACAGCACACCTCTAACCTAACTATAATAAGCGATACTCTTAGAATTGCACAAACTAAAGCTAGAGCTATAACGGAGAGCACTACGCAGGCCCTTAACAATATTAAAAACAAGCTTAAGAATACCGCAGAAACCGTCCGCTAGTCTGTAGCGAGCGTACAGCAGAGTATTAATACTAGAGAGAAAGCAAGAGCAGCCGCCAGAGAGGCATTAGAAACGGGCAAAGCAGTTATAAAAATAACAAGAGAGATTAGAAACAAAGGACTACATAGCTAGACAAACAGGGCGGCCACGTATACTGCCGTAGCGGCTTAAGAGCCCGCACTAGTAGAAGCACATAATACACAGAGTCTTAGAGCGCTATTAATACAAACGCAACGTAAGGTTATAGTAAACATTAAAGACCTGCTTACTGTACAAAGCCTACGAGCGATAAACCTACGTAATCTAAAAGTCTATGTAGAACGAGCTATTACGCAAAGCAGAAACGAAAATATAGCGAATATAAAGATTACATCCTCTAACTAGCTAATAAGTAGCGATCTAAGCATTAAAACAGCTAGCAGTAATAAAGCAGAAGCGCTAAAATAGTTCGCGGACAACTAGACACACCTAATTAGGAACGAGGCTACAGTATAAATTCTAACCTATAGAATTCTCGCACACGGCATACGCACTAGCACAATAGACATAGACAAGTTTAAGAAGAACAGGAACTAAATACTACAAGAGAATAGACTATTTATCCCGCGGGTAGAAATTAGATACATAGAATAGCTAACAAGAACCGCGCTTACTAAAACTGCATCGACTATTATTATCGAGCTTACTAAACTAGAAGACGCTAACAAGATTATAGACGAGGGCCTTATCTAGCAAGGCAAGGTTTTCTAGTGCGAACGATACAAGAGATAGTACTAATTAAAGTAGTGCTTTAAGTACTAAAAATACGGCTATATAGGAACCTAGTATAAGGCAACAATAGCATGTAGCTACTATGCCTAGAAACACAACTCTAGAGATTACCTGTTAAAGGTAGACTAGAACGTACCAAGGAAGTGCGCGACATGCTAGAGAGAACACAAAACGTAGAGCCGTTAATGTCTAAATAGAAAGAATAAATTAGTTAAGGTAAAGGCGGCGTACAACACCTAACCCTAATACTACCTAGTCTTAGAGATAACTAGAGGGAATATTTAGGCTAGAAGCTAGCTAGAAACCCTGCGCAGGAGCCGTTCTAGTCTAAACCTAACACCTATCTAGAAAACCTAGACTACTAGAAACTAATTCTAATCTAGAAGAGGACAAAAGTAGAATAACACTAGAAACATAATTAACACAAGAGACAAAGAGAACTAGCTAACAAGAGAGAATAGCAACTAGAGGCTACAGAGGACTATTATACCGTCTAGAAGGGCGCTAGAAGCGATTAAAAATAACACACGATAGAGCAGTTAACAAATAGACATTAATTAGGAAATTAACTTATAAATTAATAGGCAACTTTAAGTATACTACAGTACAACGTCCGAAAATTAAAAGACATGGTAATAGCAACGCTGCTCTAAGACCTAAGAGTACAGGAATATATCTTAGCTATTTAAGAGCTATAGAAGAACTTATTTATAGCAACTACGCATTACTTAGCTAAAGAGACCTTCTATCTCTGCTATCTAGTTAGGGAAGAAGAAGGACTAACCAGAGTCTGCTTCTTCGTTAATAAGAAAATAGACCTAACAAGATAGCGATTTAAAGAATATACTAGAGACATATACTCTATAACAGTAGAACTAGACGAAGAGCAACAAATAAAATAACAGCTTACTATCTACAATATCTACAACCCCTGCAAAGACGTAATAAACTAACAAAACGCGCTACTACACATCTGTGTAATACTTAACGAACATTAGGCGGAAGAATAGATAATTCTAGGGGATTTTAACCTCTACTACCCGCTTTAGGGAGGACTTAACGTTTAAGACGCAGAGCTAGAGTCTAAAGACCTAATAGCTATAATAGAAGACTTCTTACTCTATAACACTCTTCTCCTAGGCACGATTACATACGAAGAAGGGAACTCCTAATCTACAATTAACCTGTGCCTAATAACTATAGAATTAGTAGACAGGATTATTAGAAGCGAAGTTAACAGAGAACTCGACTACAACTTAGACTATCTACCTATAAGTACTGTACTCGACATAACTATATAACGCTCTAACTAGGCACTAAAAAGAAACTAGAGGAGACTAAAGAAGAAGAAGTATACAAAAGCGCTCTAGTACGCCTTACCGCTGCTCTAGCAACTAGCTACAAAGTTAGCACTAGACAGATACGTTAAGGAAGTAACAGTAGCAATTTAAACAGTAATAGACACAGCGGTTCTATAAACATGCCTCTTAACTAAGGCTAAAGTAGAGTAGACTAAAGAATACAGTATAGTACTAAGAGAGGTAAAATAACTAAAGCGAGTATACAGCTAATATAATATTCTAGAAAGTATACTAAATCGCGAGAAACTATAAGGCAAGAACAATTAGAAAAGCACTATAGAAAACACATAGAGATAGAGTTAAGAAAGTAGTAGAATTACTAGAATTACTATAGAGAATTGCTAAGTAGGCTAGAATAGAAGAAAACTAGCTTCTAAGAGTTACTCTAGCTATTCTATACTCTAAAATATAAGATAAAGTTATAGTACTAGACGATAAAGCAGAACTATTCTAGAAGACCTTCTTTCTAATACTACTAGAAGCAGACTTAAGAGACGTATAAGATGCTAAATATAATAACTAAATTAACCTACTAGTAATAATAGAAAAGAAAGTTAAGAATACTATTTACGTAGTATTACTCTATAAAGCCTCTAGTCTAGATAGAATTCTAAACTAGGCCTTATAAGTAGTAGTACTACTTATTATAGTCTACCTAATAAGAATTTATAACTAAAGTCTATAGCTAGAATACTACCTAGTATACTTCTAGAAATCTACTATAGTTATGTTACGTAAGTTAGGTAAGACTAACTATAGAATGCTAAAAGTATACTAGTCTATTATACTACTTAATACTATAGGTAAGATTATAGAAGTAGTAATAGCTTAAAGGCTTAGCTATCTAGTAGAAGCCTATTAGATGCTTCTAGTAAGATATATAGAAGAAAGAAAGATATAGTCTACTAAATACACGCTCTATATTATTATAGAAAAGATATATAAAGTATAAAATAGAAAGAAAGACTAAGTAGTAAGTCTTCTACTACTTAACGTCTATAGCGTCTACAATAACGTCTTCTACTTATAACTTCTTACTTGCCTTAAACCTACTTATATTATTACTAGTAAGTAGCTATATATCTAGAAGATCGCGCTTAATTTAAGAGATACTACGTAACTATAGACCTACTAAGTACCTTAGACTTACTTATAAGTTTCTCTAAAAGTAAGAACGTAACTATAGTTTATATAGAAGTTTATTATATAGAAGATACTATAGTACTTACTACTAAATATATACTTACTATATACTTCTTAGTTAGCCTTATATATTAATATAGCTTAATATAAACTTATTTTTTATTATTTAGAGAGTTAGAAAGAAAATATAGATATATAGTATATTAGTATCTAGATACGTAATACTTTATCTACTTAATACTAACTACTTCTTTTATAACACCTCTCTATACTTCTCTAATAACCTAGTACTACCTACTTCTACTTCTTCTACCTCTTCTTAAATAAAGAAGTTAGTATAAGCTTATTCTACCTCTTCTTTAACTTAGTATCTATATTAGTATTAGTATTATTCTCTCTCTCTAATAACGCATCTACTATCTCTCTTATTACCTTATTCTATATCTTCTACCTTATACTAACACTCTTACTATCTCTATTACTATTACGTATCTCTCTATCTCTTAAAAACCGCGTTAGCGTGTATATATCTATTTATAGCTACTCTACTATACTCTTTAATCTCTTCTTCTCTATATTAAACGCGTTATAAATAAACTTGTTTATCTAGGTTAGAATAGTAATTTTATCTTTAAGCTACTTATTTTTAATAGTAATAGTATTATAGTAGAAGTAGTATATATAGTAGATATAGAGAATAAAGGTAGTAGACTACGTATAGAGCGTAAATTCTAAAAAGCTAGTTTATAGTTTAGAGAGGGGTTTAGTTATAGTATAGAGAGAAGTAGAGAGAGAGTAGTATTTTATAAAACGCGTTAGAAGA